GAGAGAGAGAGAGAGAGAGAGAGAGAGAGGGAGATAGAGATAAAGAGAGAATAGAAAGACAGACAGACAAACAGATAGACAGACGAATAGGCAGACAAACAGATAAATAGACAAACATACAGGCACACAGTCACTCAGACACACAGACAAATACAGGCAGATAGACAGAGAGATAGAGACAGATACAAGCAAATAGACTGAGAGAGTGAGACAGACACACAGACAGACAGACACACATAAACACAAACACACGGACAGGCAGACAGATAGACAGGCAGACAGGCAGAAAATGACCTTTTATCTCGAAATGTATGTCTGCTATAGTGTTGCTTTGTATACCGATACCGCATATTGCTTAACTTAGGTCGTGGGTGGTTGGCGGGTGCTCTTGTGTGGTTTGCTCCTTCTTTCCTATCAAACATCTATCGTCCTGATCTCCCCTCCTTCTTTTTATGTTTTTACTATCTTGTAACATCTCTAATCTTCGACACTCGTATGACCTTATAGTGTTGCAAGTGCCGTAAAACACTTACTAAAACTTAAAACTTAACTGCCTGTAGCGAGGCGAGGTCACTAATCTCAAGAACTTATTGTAAGTTTATTACAAGAATGATCACTCGAGGGTGACTTTAAGCAATATACTTTAGCTCACGCTCAGTTGAGGGATTAATGGACCTTGCGCTAATTGTGCTACTTGAGGTAATTAATTTGTTTGTGTGGGTGGTTGATTAATGTGCTTGTTCTGTGTGATTTGTGCATTTAGGTGTTGATAATATGCCATTTAATGTCAAATGACACTGTGATATGAATTATTGAAATAGTTGTTTTTGTTTCTTTGTTATTTGTTGGGGGAGGGTGTATTTATTTGTTTTTTAACACACTTTAGTTGTCATCATTGCTAGCTGCTACGAGACAATAAGTGTTCTTGAAGGATTAAAATTCTCTGTTAACTGCATCTTATCGAATCTGGATCGTTGCGGTTGCTCGGGTGTGGTTTGCCCCTTCTTTTCTATCAGACATCTATTTCCCTATCTTCCCTCCGTATTTGTAACACCTCTAATGGTTGGCTCTTTGAGGGCCTACCTTATTATGTTGCAAGTGCCTGTGAAATATTTACTAAAACTACAGCATTATTTCTATTTCATTGTAAAAACGCAGAATGAATCACAACTTGGCCCTTTAAGGTGATTTCAAGATGATTAAATGCATTGGTGCTTTTGCCTTGGATTCATAATAATATTCTTTTGTCTCCCTTTTTAGGGTCAAAAGGTGACATACGAATAATAAATATTATAAAAGATATTTTAATGAGTGCTTGCCCCCCGCCCCTATACAACATTTATCTTAAAACTCAGTATTCAAAGAAACCATTTGTCGTGACTTTAACAAAAATGTACATAATATTTGTATTGTTATTATTACATTGCAGTCACCTCCGATGAAGAATAGCGAATAGCAAGGGACATAACTGTTGATATTACTAACTTGTCTTGGATTTTTATTCTAGTAGTCGCCCTTGGTTCTAAAACGTGCGACATGTCAACTTTTGGGCGCTCCGAAACTTAAATGGTATCATGCTGGACTACGGAGTCGATGGCCCAGTTTAGAATCAGATACTGGGTGTTCTGGAACTTGGGTATGCTGTGAAGTTTTTACGACTCTCAAACCACTTGGCTCGGTCCTATCGGAGACGGATTTCAAATTCGGAGATCTCAGCTCTTAAGTAACCTCTTAGTGTTGATAGGGGCGCTAAACTCATTAATAATAATAACCATCATCATCATCATCATCATCATCATGAAAATCCTAATAATCCTTACAATAATAAATCATAATCGTAATAGTCATAATCATAATAATGATGATAATGATAATGATGAAGGTGATTATTGTTATTATTGCAAGTACCATCATCATCATCATCATCATCATCATCATCATCATCATCATCATCATCATCATCATCATTTTCATCATCATCAGAGCTTCCTCATTGGATGTGGCTGTCTATGTTGAGAACGGTACTCCCCATCGTGAAGGGGACAGCTTGAGTACCTTCCTCAAAAAGGGAACAAAAATCTATCACATGTCTCTGGGAGCAGGTTGAGCTAGCGAGACTGCGGTGGGACCATCATTGGAGTTTAAGATGGTATAAGAACTTTGTAAATGAAGAGCTCAGCCCATGTTGCCGAAGATGCAGCCTTGAAAAGGGGGATATAAAACATATTATGTTTGAATGTCCAGGAACAATGGCAATTTAAATGGAGTTATTTGGACGAGTGGAGGTGCCGCAAAGCATATTGACAATGGAGCCGAAAAAGAGCCTCGCTCTCGCTCGAAGAATTCTTCGTGAAGTCCGTCAGGCCCATTAAGGAAACAAATCATCATCATCATCATCATCATCATCATCATCATCATCATCATCATCATCATATGGTCATTATTATTATTGTTTTTATTATTACTATTATTATCATTATTATTTTTATTATCATTATCATATATTACATTTACAATCACACGTACACTTACTCTGTTTTCAGACAAACTGAATATCGATTCCCCAACGAAGAAGAATTCAGATTCTGACTCCTCCGATGATGGCAGCGATGATGACGATGACGATGACGAAGGAATGCCAGAGAATTACGACTATGGGCGCCGACGGAGCCGAGCAGTGCTTTACCACATCAGCGGGCAGCTTAACAAACAGAATAAGGCCAAGAGTAAATTGCAGCAACTCAACAGAGTAAGGACAATAGTTTCTTAGTACCACAGAAGAAGTTAATTGTCCTGTACGGACAATCAATGATAACATTCTTGGCTCCTATACTAATACCCTAGGACCTCTTTCGAAATTGTCTATAGTGCGGTTAAAAAATTGTCTATAGTGGGGCCCTGGTTGTTGCTGTTGTTGTTGTTTTTGGTTGTTGTTTTATTCGGGGATGGGGGTTGCTTTTTTTTTACTTTTTTAAATGTGTTTATTGCTGTGGATTTTTTTTAGTGTTTTATTTTTTATTGTTATTTATTTTAAATGAGTGGGGGGGGGGGGTGTTAGGTTGACATAAAACTCTATTTAAGACATACTATGCACATAAAATCAAATTTATTGTAAACCTGCCTTACTAATATAGCCATATTCCTAGATTAGTAAACCACTTAACTCTTCATTATGAAACAACTCCGAAATCAGACACAATAATAATTCTGGAACATTCCACATTGACAGCTCGCCTCCCAGATGCCAGAGTACAAGGTTCAAGAAGTGAAAAAGTCCTCCTTAATCATCGTGCATTACGGCATCTTTAAGATCGGCTGGGACTGGTTGATCCTCCTCTGTACCTTCTACATCGCCATCATGGTTCCCTTCAACGCCGCCTTCAGGGAGTCAGGGCGCTTCAAAGACTCCATGTACATTGATGCTGGCGTGGAAGTGCTCTTCGCTATTGGTAGGACGGGGGTAGTTTTGTTGTTGTAGTTGTTGTTGTTGTTGTTGTTGTTGTTGTTGTTGTTGTTGTTCTTCTTCTTCTTCTTCTTCTTCTTCTTCTTCTTCTTCTTCTTCTTCTTCTTTTTCTTCTTCTTCTTCTTCTAATTATTATTATTACTATTACTATTACTAGTAACACTATTGTTATTTTTATTAGCATTATCATTGTTATTATTATTAATATTGTCCTCATTATCCTCATCAACATTATTAATATCATTATTATTGTTATTATTTTTATTATTATTATTATTATTATTATTATTATTGTTATCATTATTATTATTACTATTATTATTATTATTATTATTTCACCGTTATCATTAGTATTTCCATTGTTATATTTTATTTGTTATGTTACTATTATTACTAAAACTGCCACAGTTAATACTGCAACCGTTCTTCTCTTTATTTACACTAACAAAACCACCAACAACACCTTAAGCATGATGGCCTGATACAAGCTAACAAATAAAACAATGATACGGTAAAGTTGTTCCTGCATCCGATCCGGACATTGGGATTGCCTTGTTAGTGAGACAACTTCCTGGGCCTTCGGCATATTGTGGTGGGATGGCCAATTCTTTTGCACGCCGCTTTACTTCCCCAACTCGAAGTCAGGTACCCATTACTGCCAGGTGGGCAGGAGGGGACGGAAAAAACATCCGTGTCTGGATCGAGGCTCGAACTCGGATTTTTGGCTTCGGAGACGAGCGTCACTAACCGCTCCGCCACCGTATCCTCAATAATATGGTACGTTTTCTTAACCCTATCCGTACTTCATTTTTTTGCTATCGTATCCGTACGTCGTGGGTAACTCTGTGCTACCAGGTTTCAAAGAGGAAATTTACTCGTTAATCCGATCCGTAAGCTTTGCATAGCTGTCAGTCAAAAAGATTTTTTGAGAAATACCGAAAGTATCAACCAGATCTTCGCACTAGAAGTATTCAAAAATCTGAAGAATACAACCCCGGGGTACAAAATAACCCGAGAGCGTTCGGATAGGGTTAAACAAAACTCTTTTTCCTCACTTCCCAGATATTGTTCTCAACTTCCGGACAACCTTTCTGAACAAGTCGGGGCAGGTGGTCTACGAAGGTAAAATGATCGCCATCAACTACATGCGGGGCTGGTTCCTCCTTGACCTTCTTGCAGCCATACCCTTTGACCTCTTGTATGCCTTCAGCGTCGAAACGGTAGGTTCTTCTGTCTTCTGTGTCTGTTACAGTTAGTGTCGATTTATTATTAAGTACAGTGTACACTGTCTGTCTCATGCACGTGAGGCATCGTTCGTTCTCACTTTTGGCGTGATCAGTCGTGGTCTCATAATCGTAGAGAAGATCATGATTTTTTTTAATTGTTTTTTTTTTTTTTGGTTAGATCTGTAGATGCTTTGCTTGATTTTGTGTGATTGAGTGAAGTCCAAATACCGAATAGCTTGTGAGTTTGTTTAAAGATCACGGCTATTTTAAAGACGCATCAAAATTATGAAAGGAGTAGTGGAAGTTCGGTC